AGTAAATTGTTTTAGTTTAATTTATTAAATAATTATTTAATAATTTATTAATTTTTTTTAACAGTGGTTTGCTTTTCACTATAAATTTGATTGATCAATTTTATTTTTTCTTTATTTAATATTACATTTATGAAATAGTTATTTAATAATTTATTATTTAATTTTTTTTTACAAATCTAAATTGTATTTGTCTGAAACACATTTGTCGCACTCTCACTGGTTTATTAGTTGTCCAGTAGTGGATGATTTGACAGGATTCTCTGTTCACATGCATTATTTGCCGTTGGTCTCTTGCAGTTCTATCTGTCTTATCATCTGTTCATCGTGGCTTGTGCCGGAGCCGGAGCCACAGTCATTGCTCTGGTAAGCGACGCTTGTTTTCTGCTGTTTGTTCCTCTTCCTCCTCTATTTACCCCTTCATTCCCAGCACCTGCATCTACTGCAAACCCTGTGCTTCCAGCCCCTGATCCGAGGGTTAGTTTTTGAGGTGAAGTCCCACTAGCTGACTCCAGATGACTTGATATTGTTCTGCAAATGCATGCATGTGAATGCCTGAGATATCAGCTAGTGGGACATCAGAAGCTCAGTTTCTACTCACATACTTTACTGATGCCCGAAGGGAAATTCAGTGTTATCGCATCTGCAAAAAACACGACATATTCAACACAACATAACGAGATCAGTCCCATTATAATCAGTGAAGCTGTCAATACTGGAGAAAAAAATGTGAGAAAAAAACATTATTAGAATTTTTCATTACATTTTATTTTAAATTGTTTGTTCTAATTTAATTATTTATTTAATTCAATTTGATTAAATAATTATGTAGTTATTTTATTTCTGCAAATATCATGTTTACCTATAATGTAGTTATACTAAATATATATTAAACTAATATAAACTATATATTTTATTTGTAATGTAATGTTTTTTATTTAATTATTTATTTAATATTATTTAATTTTATTAAACGATTATTTTTATTATTTAGAATTTTTTACTATAAATTGTATTTGTAATGTTAATTTTAATTTTGTCTGTTCTTTTTCATTTTAATTTATTAAATAATTATTTAATTTAATATTTTATTTTTTGTTACAATTGTCTTGCTTTTCACCAAAAATTCATATAATGCAATGCTTATTTAAATGTATTGTTTGTTTCTTTGTTTTATTATTTAATATTATTTAATTTAATGTAACTCTTAAGTGTTTTGTGATCAGATGCTTCCAGTGTATTTCAGGACTTGCAGTTTCTTTATTCCGTCATTGATTTCTGTGCTTTCTCTTCCACCAGCTCATCTACATGATGGCTACCACGTATAACTTTGCTGTTTTGAAGTTTAAGAGTCGAGAGGACTGCTGCACTAAATTTTAACGCAGTTGCGTGAAAGTGCCTAGAATGAGCAGCCACTGACAATATGGACTAAAATAATCGAAGCGAAGACAAACGGGAGAAACACTTCTTTGCTTTGACATGTAATGTGTAAATATAGGCCTGTATACGGATGTAGCATTTGGACGCAGGTGCAGCCCGAGTCTGCAAACATGCACGTGTTGTTAGCCAGAAAAGCCTAATTTGAAGCCTAACACGAAGTCTCTTTAAAGTCCTCTGAAGTATTACGGCTAAAGGACAGACGCACGGCGCAACAGAGGAAAGTATTTTTCCCATTCATTTTCTCAATAGAGATTCTGGAAAATCCTGATCCATGCACCAAATAAAAACCAGGTGATTCACGAAATACGATTCAAAGCACTACGATTGAAGACTAAATAACAGGAAAACTTGCATCTGAGCTTCAGTTCAAATTTGTATGAATTATAAACAATTCTAAATATTATATAAGCAGTTCTTGTATATATTTTTAAAATATATAAATGCATGTGTGTGTATTTATATATGCATAATAAAAACACACAGTACACACACATAGTTTTATCAATTTAATGCATTCTTGCTGAATAATATATATATATATATATATTAATATTTATATTACTTACCCCAAACTTTTATAAAGTAGTGTTTCAAACATTGATAATAATCAGAAATGTTTCTTGAGCAGCAAATCAGCATATTAGAATGGTTTCTGAAGATCATGTGACACTGAAGACTGGAGTAATGATGCTGAAAATTCAGCTTTGATCACAGAAATAAATTATATTTTAATGGATATTCACATAGAAATCAGCTGTTTTACATTAGAATAATATTTCACAATTTTTACTGTATTTTTGTATCAAATAAATGCAGCCTTGGTGAGCAGAAGACACTTCTTTCAAAAACATAAAAAAAAAATCATAATTATTCCAAGCTTTTGACTGTTGATGCATATAAATATAAAGTGATTTTTCTAAATCTTTCTACAAAAACACCTGCTATGAGACAATGAATGTGATTTTTACTTCCAGAATCTGTTGTGTTGTGTTAGAGGAGAAAAGTCTATTTTTTCTGAATTTTGCCGATTGTGCCAGTGTTTTCTTCCTTCAGACCTGTCTACAGTTTTCAGTGTTGCTTTAATCATTCCTACTCATACGTTTGAAGCAGTATTATGAAGATTGTTGGTATTTTTCATGTTTTTGAAGTATTAAAGACTCAGTGTACGTCTTCACAACTAACCTAGTTGTGTCTGGTTTGAGTCGAATGTTTTAAGGTACTGTTATTTTAAACACAGACCGTTCACTGTCAGCAGAGAGAAAAAAACTTTAAATCATTCTTAAAACATAATAAATGTAATAAAAGGTTTAATTCAAAAATGCATTTATATTATCAAAACGCAATATGGCAGTGCTTTATTATATGATTACCTCATCATAACACTGTCTGCTTTACTATTAATAAATAAACAAAAACATGCTGTCAGTAGGAATGACCTATGTGTGATTTAATCATTAATAAAAACATTGCATAAAAACACATGCATGATCATTGAGAAAGTTGTAGTTAGTGAGCAGAAGCACATGGCTTTGTGCCGAACGCTTGATTATATGATTTAACTTCTGAATATTAATCTACAGTGATTTAATCAGCTAAAAAACACATGCTTTTAAAATCACTCTAACATTCAAGGATTCAGTGGCTTATCGCTTCACAGTTTCTGGTTGCAAAGACATGCATTTACCTGCATTTCACAGGCTTTAAACGTGACTAATTCAGTCCGGATTTAACCGTTTTAATTCACATAAAAAATGAGGACGAGTTTGTTTCTTCATCAGATCTGTAGAAATGTAGCATTGCATCAGTGTCTCAGCAATGGATGCTCTGCAGTGAATGGGTGCTATATATATAATTTTTTTTTTCAAGGCAACATTTCTTATGTTCATTTATTTTAACTTGATGTACTAAAATAACTAAAACAAAAAATAAAATAAATAAAGGTATAAAAAAACCTAGAAATAAGAAATTAAAATTAATTTAAAAATGTTTTGTCATTTTTACGTTTTTAATTTTTATTTTAGTTTTTATTTCTTATTATTATTTAATGACATTTTTGTTTTAGATTTAGTTATTTTAGAACATCTGTTTGGACTGTTTATTTAAAACAGATGTAAAACTGCATCCATTCAAAAAGTAACAGCATGCAAGTTTGAAACAACATGAGGGAGAGTGTATTTTCATTTATGGATGAGTTATTCCTTTAAAATAAGTGTTGTGTTGTATCTGGTTGGGACGTGTGTGTG